TTCTAGGGTCCTCCTCGGGTGCTTCTGGCCTCTGCCAACTGCCCCCTTAGCAGGTAGTTTGCTATGGTGGCACCCATGCAGGTTTGCTGCTGAATCGCTGCTCTGCGTGTCCATTCATACACAAAGCGCAGTTCGGCCCTGCCCCTGCTCTCTCCTCATTGGCTTTGATTTACAGTAGCAGGAGCCAGTGGCTCCTGCTGCTGTCTCAGCCAATGAGGGAGAGTCCTAGGAGATCCACTGCTCTTGTGCACATCCCTGCATCAAGAGGGGGCTCTAGTAAGTATTACGGGGGGCAGCTGCGCACAGAAGGTTTTTTTATCTTCATGCATAGAATACATTTAGGTAAAAACCTTGAGCCTTTACAACCACTTTAAATATTTTAAATAATTACTTTAAGAGCTTGATTTCCATAAATTATTTTTTTTTATTCAATTGTAACATGCCTTATTAGAAAATTTGACTAGTCCAATCTGAAAGGCCTGGCTCTCATTAAATCTACATGTGACAGAGGTAAAATCTACTCTACACTGAACATTACTCAATGAGAACATAACAGCTAAACTGCAAGATACTGTACCCAAGTTCCACAAGGTCTGACAACCATGGGTCACGCGTTTTCTGCCAGCTGACTTTGACCACCGCTTCCTTGATCTACAGTGTATGGTACTTCTTCTGTTACGTACTACTGCTGAAAATTCCTCTTGTCCAAACCATCACCCTTCTGTCAGCACAGATCCTCCCCATCCACTTCTGGCTTCTCTCAATCCTATGGAAACAATTTTGTTGAAAATGTCTATAGATTATTTCACAGAGCAATACCAAATTGTTTTGAATCAGAGCATAATGTAGTTTGCAGAGTTGCAGCTTAAAAGATTATTGTACTTCGTGTGATATACAGGTAGACATTGCTGAATCGACCCTTATGAAAACACTAGCTATTGAGCTTTTTGTTGATCCAGTAGTATCAAACTTTGAGTCACTGACTCAGGACAAGTATGTACAGTTCTAATAAAGGAATGATCATGGATCCCTTAATATAGTTTGAGAGAGGAGAGCGATGGGTTGGAAGTATTGATGAAGGGGAAAGGGATTTTAGCACAATGTATACTTGGATTGATTTTTTAAACAGCATGGAGTAGAATGGTGAAAGGAGGTGAGGAAGTGGACATTCACATTGTAAAAGTTTGGGATAAGATATAGTAGGTAAATGATGGATGAAATCAATAAGCAAGGGATATAAGATAGAGAGTTATAATGGAGTTAAGGTTGATGAAGCAATAGAAAAGGAAGTAGCCGAAGTAAAGGAAAAGCTCAACAAGAAGTGAGGATTTTATTAAATAACAAGAAAAGGATTATTTGGTTTTGTACTCTTGTTAGTCTGTTTTTCCTTATATGTCATATTTGTGTGTGAAAGGTTTTAATAAGGGATGTAATATATTTATATATTTAAAATAAAATCTAATAAAAATGTAAAAGAATAATTTTTAAAAAATGCAACCGTGTAATTGCATGTGAACTGCTGCGGGAATTAATATCAAGTATCATGAACAGAAAAGATGCCACAAAAAAAGTGGATACTGCAAACATTTTATTTACTGCTGTTAGATAACTATATTATATTTGTGACTAGTTTTATAATTAAAAGAAAAACCTCACTTTTCTATAGCACTTTTATATGAGTTGCCTAAAGAGGAATACAAGTTCTGCTCATATGTCTGTCTGAAAATGAATCAATCAAAAGTAGTGCATTGTTAGGGCAAAACATTTCAGGGATCATGCACCCTAGAATACAGCTAAAGCAGGGCCACTCTAAGAAATAATTGTTGTAAACGTACTGTCTTGTTAATATTGTACCTTTTTATTTGAATTTGATCAAGAAACCTAATGTTAGGGAAGTGAAAATGAACATTTAGTATTTTAGACATACCGGTATATCTTTTATAAAGAGATTAGATTGATGTCAATAATGTAATGCATGTAAATGTTTTTTTAAAGTGTTGATTTGATGTTTAGTTTATAAACTTTATATGTGCATGGGGCATCCATCTTTCCTCTGATTTACTATAAACAAAGTATGTCCTATGAGGCCAATATATTATCTCAACAGTTGTTAAGTGGATAGGTTGAAATAGGCAGAGTAAAAAAAGAAAAATCCCTACATGTAATACAGTTATAAGATGGATATGAAAATGCAAGCATTTAAAAAAAAAAAATGTGAAACTCATATCAAAAATGTTTTAACATTTAAACATTGTAATAATAAGCTCAAAATATGCATGATAACTGAAAATACATGCTTCTTTCCTGAGAGTAGCCCTAACTAACATTGACCATGATTGTAGACGGTATAGGATTATTTGAGTGTGGAACAATGTAAATAGTAAGTTGTTTGTAACAAATGAAGGAAAACTTCAAACAATCTCAATAGAGATTCCTACATAGCAATGCTTCTTTCCCTCGATGGGCACTCAACAGTAGTTCTAACCATAGAAATACAGAAAGGACTGCCAGACCAAATTCAAAATAGTAATAAAAATACAGCCAAAGCATTTCAGGGACAACACCACTCCCCCTTCATCAGTTCTCAACACAGGGTACAACTTTGATGGACTCAGAAGCAGTGACTTCACAGATCTATATTAGAACAGTACTGAACTCACTATGTGGAGCTGCTGAGCAGCAACTGCTAGTTCTAGGAAAATGGCCATGACCATGGGTATTTGTTCGCATTCTTCTGCACTGTGTAATTTGTATTTCTATTCATTCTCTTTTAGCCATATTGGGACTGATTCTCCAACAGATCAAGGAGAAGTAATTGTGGTGCTAAGTAATTTCAACAGTAAAATTATTAAAGTTCATGTAAGTATCTCTCTAGATTCAATTTCTTCTTAAAACCTGCTCAAATTGATCATTATAGGTTAATACACTCACCTGTTAAACGTATAGTTCCTGTCAGAACATTCTGTTTTAGATGATACCTAAAATAATTATACTGTCAGAATATTTGTTTTACAGAGCATTTGATGATGCAAGGCTAATGTATCTAGCTTTATTCTGTGGCAGTAATTGCCATGTCAGCAGCAACCTTTGACGTTTTGCTTCCCTATCTTAACTGTGTCTTAATTGAAGCATGAGAATAGAGGCTCTTCCTCAGCCATAAATAATTTCATAGAGTCATAGCCATATAGGGCTCCATTCACTAAACAAATAAAGGAGCACTCCCAACCCTGTGGAAGTCATTAGAGTCACAAGCCCAGGAACAGTTAAAATTGACTATAATGTTGGGTAAAAGCATGACATATAGGAGTACCCAGATTAATACATCAACAAGCCAGTGGAGAGGTGAAACACATATTCGCAGATGCTGGAGGATGACACATGATCATGGACCCAACAGTAGGACATAATCTGAGGTAGGGGCAAGTCCCTGAAACATGTCATCATGATGACCAACTTCTCTCCTTTGGTTTGAGTGCTCCCCTAGGCTCCCAGTTCGCCCTCACCAGTTCTCTCTCGCCAGGTGTATGACATAACAACTGGATCTGGGATACGTGACTTTCAGTGGATGCACCATCTTATCGATCCCAGTGGCTGTCATCCACACACCCTTCCCACTGTCCTGAGGCTCCTGGGCTGAGCAACCTACTGTTGGGTCCAGGATCATGTGTCATTCTCCAGCTTCTGGGAGTATGTATTTCTCCTCTGCACAGTCTTGGTGATGTATCAATCTGGGCAATCCTACATGCTTTTTAACCCAACATTAAAGTGAATTTCAATTTTAACTGTTCCTGGGCTTGTGACTTTATCAACTTCCACAGGCTTGGGAGCACTCCTTTATTTGTTTTGTGCTCATGTCTCATTGCTGGTCAGATGATTTTTTTGAGCTGCCCATACTGAGGTTATCTATATATCCTCTGGAACCTCATTGCGCTTGGTATTTGCACCTTCTCCATTCACTAAAGCATATCGCATGAGGTATTTAGGTGTTCTGATGCATTTTCCCCAAATATAGCATGAGATAATGAAACTGTCAATTCACTATCCCTTTAAATGCACGAGTTAAATAAGTAGTGGTCCAGGCATGCAGTATTTAACAACTTCCAGACCGAACACTTTTACCCCCTTCCTGACCAGGGCAATTTTCAGCTTTCAGCACTATCACACTTTGAATGACAATTGCGCGGTCATGCAACACTGTACCCATATGAATTTTTTACCATTTTTTTGAGACAGATAAAGCTTTATTTTGGTGGTATTTATTCACCGCTGGGATTTTTTTTTTTTTTTTTGCTATGTAAATGAAAATGTCCAAAAATTTTTGAAAAAAAGTGTTTTTTTTTTTATAAAATTTTGCAAATAAATAATATTTCATCATAAATCTTGACCAAAATGTATTCCGTTATCTTTTTAGTAAAACAAAAAAAAATCCAAATTACTTTATAATCAAAAATCATAATTTTTAAACTTTTTTTACATTTTTATTTTATTTTTTTATATTTTTTATTTGTATTTTTTTTTACATACTGTCACCCTAGCAGTACAGTGTCACCATGGTGACACTATACTACTTGTGGGCGGTGGTGAAGATTTTTTTTTTTTTCTTTTTTTTACACTGATTGCTTTTACACCCATATAGGATGTAAAAGCAATCATTTCTCTTTCTGTCCATTCTTGCAGTCATTGAGAAGTACTGAGTGAGCTGTGATTGGTCACAGCTTGTCACATGGTACAAGGCTGTTGTGAATAGCTTTGTACCATGTGACCTCTGTGATCATTCACAGATTTCACACATAGTAAGCAATGATGTCACAAGTGACATCTTGCTTACTACTTTGCATGCGATCACTGATTGGCCAATCAGTGATCACATGATCGGGACCTCGTACAGAGGTCCCGTCCGACGATCAGTGTTTCACTGTGTCCAGAGGACACAGCAGGCACCGGATCGCGGTGCTGCGCGCTCCCAGGGAGCGCGCACAAGCAGGGTGCGGGGAGGCTGTTTATAAACGGCCACCCGACCCTGCACTGCCACCGTCTGGCCGTTTATATACAACGGCCGGTCGGGACGTGGTTAAGGGATGTTACAAAATGCACAGTCTGTGCCTTTAGTAAATACACTTCATTACATGTAGTAAAAAATATCTATTTTCTCCCATCACTTTGCCAGATTTTCAGAGACTTTTGTGTATATACAAGTATATATTTGCTGCATAAACCTCCCATTCACTTCAATCATAATGAAATCTGCATACATATCACAATGTTCTAATCCCTTGTTGGAACATACAAGTATGTCATATGTAGTGGGGATACTTTGCATTTCCACAATTATTTTTAGAGATATCTTTGGCTTAAATGTTCACAAAACAGAATGGGATTAGAAATAGACAAGTATTTACACTTACAAAGGAGTGAAACTTGAGCTGTTCAGAGAAGGGTGTCATCAATGTTAAGGTTTGACAGATGGGTACCAGTGACACTTTCAGGAACATCAGAGAATGACAACGGCTATTCTGTAACAAGACAAAACAGACCTGTCTAAAGATATAGCAATGACTTCCCATATCATAGCAATGAATACTTTAAAGTATAACTAAAGAAAAAACTTTTTTTTCATTTTGGATAGAGTAATGGAGGGTTAGCACCCCTGGCAGTTTTCTTTGCCATCTGTGGGGAAATTTCCCCACTATTCGTGTTCAATGTCAACCCAAAATGTGGGAATTTCTTTTCCAATCACTTTTAGTGATAAGGAGAAACCGTAACAATAGTGAGAGTGAATCTCCTTAATAGGGCCCAGACAACAATAAAAACAGACAGAGGTTCTAATCTACCTCCGCTGTATCCATCCCCCTTGATATCACATCATGAGATAACATACCAAAGTTTTATGGGATTAATACCTCACATTTCGATGATATAACTCATGCCTTATTTTAGTAGCATATTTATGAATTACAAAAACATTTTTTTGTAAAAACGCTAAAACAAAAACTAAAACCTAGTTATTTTACTTAGGACCTTAAAGAGGAAAATTATTCTTTTTGAATTGAGCCCATTGTGTTTGTAATTATAATATTTTATTGCAATGATCAGAATGTTTGGGGTTAGCGATAGAAGCTTAAAGCTTTACTAGGAGAAGTAAAACGCTGACCTGTCCCATTCCTAGCAGCAAAGACTCACCCCCACTTCCCAATTCTTAATGCTGCACCTAGAGCCCCAGGAAATACAGGGTATATATGGATAAGGATGAACATATGTCTCGCCTATTTAACAGCACTTGGCCAATTGGCAATGATTCAGGTGTCCATAACCCTGTGGGAGTAATGACTTTAGCGTCTTGTAACTTACACATGGCTTTTTTCTTTTACTACTGGTGGCTAAATTATATTACTTATTCTTCTCCATTTATACATATAGTGAACAGACAGGTTTGACATGTCATCTGGTAGTTATTAGATGCAGTTCGTTCTCCTGCAGTTGTAATGAAAGAAATACGGCGCTTACAAAAAGTTGTTCCTACTGTTAAGACCTATTTAATTGCATTGTATGTTGGAATACCATGAGTCCCCTTATTGTAAAACCTGAGAGATCTAGGAACAGGAATAGCTAAGAGATGTTCGGAAAGTTCTAATGGCAGTGGATGACCTTAGAATATCAGCAAAATAAAGAACACAAAAACAGGATATATTTTTAAAGGTTAGTCTTAGTCCTAGAATATTTTTTCTGAGCACACTCTATTTTTAACATCATTTTTATTGAAATACATTTCCAAATAGAAAGTAGAATCTGATGTTTTCATTTTCATTGCAGGTGCAGAAGAAACCTGACCAGGTACATGCAGATCTCCTGAGCAGTGATTCTGACGAGAAGACAGGCCTGTGGAATTCAATAATGAGGTATATATAGCAAGCAGAGTGTTAGCCAATAAGAAATCATTTTAGTCTAATGACTTCATTAATCTGACTTCCCATTGCTGTAGATTAAAGCTCTTTGCACCTCACATGTTTGTACTGTTTTTGCGGATAATCCAAAGTGTCCTCTACCACTAAAATACACAAGACACTATCAGCGGATATACTATAATCATGATGAAAAGATTTGATGTATAACTCATGCATCCGTTTTGAATCTCAAGATCATACAGTGAATACACTAGAGGTGAGTTAGTGTGTGCATAAACCACTTCAATACTGGACACTTTCACCCCCTTCCTGCCCAGGCCAATTTTCTGCTTTCAGTGTTGTCACACTTTGAATGACAATTATGTGCAACACTGTACCAAACAGCGCTTTCTTCGTTTCTGTTATAACATTTTTCAAATAATCTTTCTTCATAAACTTGGACCAAAATGTATTCCGATGTATTTCTTTGGTAAAAATAACCCAAATTAGTGTGTATTTTGTAGTCTGTGTGAAAGTTTCTTGAGGCCCAAAAGTGCAAAGACAGTAGAAATACCCCCCGAATTACACTTTTTTTGGAAAGTAGACAGTCTGAGGCATTTGGTAAGAGGCATGGCAAGTTTTTTAAGTTGTCATTTTTTTTTACGTAATTTTGTGGAAAATTAATAAATGAAAAAAAAAAATGTTTTTCACAATTTTTATTATTTTTTTTTTTACATACTGTCACCAATGCAGTGCAGCATCCTCATATACCTGGTGTGTCGGTGATCAGGGACAGGTGACAGTGTGTTTTTGTTCTGTTTTTTTACATACTGCGACCAGGGAAATACAGTGTTACCATAGTAACACTGTACTACCATGGGGAGGCGATCAGAATTATTATTTTTTTTTTACATTATGACACTAGTAACAGTGAATCCATGTATTGAGTGTGTATTGTTCTGATTGGCCACAGCTAATCACATGGTACAGATGTGCTGTGATTGGCCCTGTCTTTACCATGTGATCATTGTAACCAATCACACCAAGCAACAAAAAAAATAATACACAATGAATGTCTATGAATAGAAGCCATCCATTGTTTACAGTTGTCATGTGATCAGCTGTGATTGGTCACAGCGATCACATGGAACCAGCAACGGCCCGGTACACTGATCTGTCATCCACTATATCCAGTGCACACAGCTGGTGACAGATCGCACCACAGCGCAGCCCGATTCTAGTAGCACGTCATATGACAGCCGGTCAGGAAGCAGATAAGCTCTAGCTGGCATTTCAAAGCCCAATCAAAACCATTGGTTTCAATCAGCTAAATATGTTACAGGGGCATCAAAACAAAAGGTGTTAAATATTTTACCCTTTTTTTCTTTCTAAAGCCTCTTGCACTCAGCCGCAGGAGGGCCATATAGCTTACATTCAGGTGTATTTCACTGGCTGGAACTGTCAGGCGAATTGTATAAGACCACTGCTTCTTCTCAAAGAGGAAGACTCTTACTCTGCAGCTGATGCCAAAAACAGGATTTTCTACTGTGGTAGGAGCTGTATAGGTATACACACATATTCCATTGTCTACATGTGTACTGAGACTTGCAAACTGCCCAGAACTCCAATACTCCGAGTTCTGACTGCATAAGTCCCAGTACACATGGAAACAATGGGGGAGATTTACTAAAACTGGAGCGTGCAAAATCTTATGCAGTTCTGCCTAGAAACCAATCAGCTTCCAGGTTTTATTGTCACAGCTTAATTGAACAAGCTGCAGTTAGAAGCCGATTGGTAACTATGCACAGCTCCAAAAGTTTTTGAGTGTTCCAGTTTTAGTAAATTAACACCAATGTTTATTGTGTATGTATCTGTACAACCACTGCTTCAGCTAACCTGTCATTGATTTTACAGGCTGGCTGTACGATCTGTCAATCCTGAATGTATGCTATGCTGTTCTCTTGCAGATGTTTGCCAAAGGCCTAAAACAAACACCTGAATAGAAAAGCCTGTCTTTGGCAGCAGCTGCACAGTGAGACACTTGTCCTCTGAGGGGAAGCAGTGGTCTTGTTTCCAGGGTCCAACATGCCTGCTGCTGAGTCAGACCTATAGCTCTGGCTATGACTCCAAAGGATTTATGTTAAAGAGAAATAACTGCTTTCACTCAGAGCAAGGATCCCACTCTGCAACATGTTGGCAGGACACAGGCTCTTCTATTTAGATGGTGGCTGATTTTTAATGAAAAAACTGCAGGATTTTGCATAACCTTTGCTTTAATACACCTGAAATATGTTTAGCTAATTTAAACTTAAAGTTTAACTGGGCTTTAAAGGAAATCTCAAGTTTAGTTGTTGAGAAATCTGTAAGGCTATAAACAGACTGCTGAAGCTGATAATGAAGTGATAGTAGAGGTTGGCCCTTACATCCAGAAATCATTAATTACTTGAGAACACAAAACTGTGAACCTGATACTTCTTAAGGCTGTAGGTGTACTAATATTAACTAGCTGGATTTTCATTTCCTGAAACTTTGTACTTTTAAATATATATTTGATGACTGACTTAAGCATTTAGGGCTTAAAGGATAACTTTACCTTTTATACAAAATATAATAAATGTACATTATTTTTTTTTGCAGGTAAAAGAATGTGCATGTATTATGGTTTTATAGAAGACAACAAGGTAGCCAAAGCGCTGAAATTAGTAAAAAAAAAATGTAATTTATTAACCACTTCCCGTCCTGTCCATGTATATAAATGGCCGGACTGTAGCAGTGCAGCGGCAGGTGGCCATTTATAAACGGCCTCCCCGCCCCCTGCATGTGCTCGCTCCCAGGGAGCGCGAGTGGAACACTGATCGTTGTACGGGACCTCTGTGTGATGTCCCGATCATGTTATCACTGATTGGCCAATCAGTGATCACATGAAGAGTAGTAAGCAAGATGTCACTTCTGACATCATTGCTTACTACATGTGAAATCTGTGAATGATCACAGAGATCACATAGTACAAGGCTATTCACAACAGCCTTGCACCATGTGACAAGCTGTGACCAATCACAGCTCACACAGTAGTTCTCAATGGCTGCAAGAAAGCAGTCAGAGAGGAGAAATGATTGCTTTTACAGCCTTTATGGGTGTAAAAGCAATCAGTGTAAAAAAAAAAAAAAAAAAAAAATCATACCCCCCCCCCCCCACAAGTAGTACAGTGTCACTATAGTGACACTGTACTGCTGGGTGACAGTATGTAACAAAAAAAAAAAACATAATATATAAAAATGTGAAAAAAAAATTTGAAAAATTATAATTTTTGGTTTAAAACTAATTTGGGTTATTTTTTTTTTTACTTAAAAGATAACTGAATACATTAATACATAAATATTATTTATTTGCAAAATTGTATAAGAAAAACACTTTTTTCTAAATTTTTGGACTTTTTCATCTATATAGCAAAAAAAAATAAAAATCCCAGTGGTGAATAAATGCCACAAAAATAAAGTTTTATCTGTCTCAAAAAAAAAAAATGCTATGTGTGTACAGTGTTGCATGACCGCACCACCAAAGTGTGATGGCGCTGAAAACTGAAAATTGACCTGGACAGGAAGGGGGTGAAAGTGTCCGGACTTAAAGTGGTTAAACACAACAAATATCTAAACTTACATTTAAGTAAGAGAAGTGCTGCTTGGACGTGGGAGGAAATTACAGTATGTGTCTGAGAATGATGAGCCCGGTCTAAGGACCGGCTACAGCTGTCATCCACAGGAAACTGGACCCGCTGTGTAAGGATGGAAAGCAGCAGCATCAATGGCCATCCTCAAGGAACATGGCATCCACTGGGAAAAGGGATGGGAGCATGTACAACGAGTTTCAGAGGCTCTGCCTCCTTTTATCAAGTACAATCATACACAGGACAGGAATTATTTTTATACTGGTGGCTGAAAGCCAGTACACAGGAAGATGGATTAAGTGGGAGATGAAAGAGAGGCAACAGCTTTGTAATCCAAAAGAAAAAAACGAAACCAGTGCTCAAATCTTCATGCAGACTAAAGAAAATTCTGAATACCAAAACGAGGTGCAGCCCTTCAGAGATCGGGAAATCTAGGAAATGGTGAACAAAAACAAATAAGGGCGCACTCCCATCGTGCATTAACCTGAGGTCTACATTCTAGCTCTGAGGAAGGGGGTTCGTCTCCCGAAACGCGTTAGCCTATCCCATATAGGTGTTTGAATCCATTGGACTGCCCTTACGGATTACCTGTTCTGTTTTTAACCTTTTTGGTTTGTGAGTATATTTCTACTATTTATCAATAAACACATGGTGTACCACGTTACTGCATGATGGGAGTGCGCCCTTGTTTGTTTTTGTTCAACAGCTCTGCAATGGCCACAGGCTGACATGTATATAGATCGATAGATAATGTCAATGACCTGAGGTTCAAAACAGGAAAAAAAATAGCTTTATGCAAAATGTTTTCTAGAGGAAATTGAAGTGTATGTGGGGAAAGTAACACATGTACAATATTTTAAAATGTTTAAATGACAGAATGTATTCTTACACAGTGAGAGACCAAAAAACAAAAAGAAAGATCATGGCAGCGCATTGAAGTGGGATAAAATTTACAGGTCTGTGTGGATATGCACAGAAGCAAAGTGGGACTCTAATGAATAATAACTAAGCAGATGGGACAAAACACAAGCACAGGTATGGGAGACAGGTAAAAAAAATGTCTGCAGAATGGGGCGTTTTAAAATACTTTAAAAAGTGAAAATAACACCTATACAGTATATAATGATATTAATAATAGGCGACTCTAATCTTAAAGAGATAATATCTCGAATGAGTAATAGTGTAATAGTAGAATGGTAGGTAAACGCCATAGAAAAAGGTACACTTCATTAAAAAGTAGCAGTTGTCTCTATAGACGTAAAAAACATCTGGTGGTTGGGAACAGTGCGAAGCTCAATTATTGGAACCATATTACAGTCTTCCATCGATCAAAAGTTCATAATTTATGGGTGCTGCACCATTCTCTCCTCTTCTGAGCAATAATATCGGTCATTAGTGGTTTGGCAATTGCAGCTCGTCTGAGAATGTTTTTGTTATTGAGTTCCCTTCGTACAATTTTGTGGACACGGGCTTTGGAAGAGCTCTGCAGTCACTTTTGCAGCAGTTGTTTTCTTATTCCTGCGCAATGTCCTTTTGTTTATTTCGGTAAGTTGACTGCGATTATGTTTATCAGACGATGTTTTCCTGCAAACTGTATATGCTGTCATAACCTTTGATACGGTATCTCGCAACACTGCATATAAATAGGCAACTTCAGTCACAGAGCACCAGCTAAGCCGGAACCAACAATTTGCCCTCTTTGAAGCTCAGTAAGCTCTGACATGACTCTGTATTACTAGCAGTGAACGCAATGAATGACAAAAATGAAACTTCCCACCTGTTAGCTAGGTGTCTCATCACACAGCGGAAGTAAAATAACGTTATATCACTTCTACTTTCATCGTAAAACATGTTGTCCTTTTTACACCTGCTAATCATGTAGTGTTTCCATATTTTTGTCCAACCCCTATGTGTATATATGTGTGTATATGTGTATTATGAACTGTTTTGCCTACCAAGTGATTTGTATTTTTGTTCTTAAATTTACACTGCTCTGACACAGTTTAGCCCTGTGTGGCAATCCAGGAGACCTAGTCTTTTCATTACTGCTGCAATACATTACCACTTCTCCCTAGCCCCTTCCTTCTGATTGGTCAATGAAAGAAGCAGACCAATGAGCCCATCTATCTTTTTATTCTGCTTTTTCCTTCTAACAGCATTCTTCTTGTACTGCAGCACAACTGCTTGGCTCCTTTTTTTCTCCAGTTTGAGCTTAAAACTGCTGCTCAGACAGGTGCTTACACTGCCTGCATATAATATATATATATATATATATATAATAGAAATAAAAATCCCAGACTTGCATCAATTTGTGGCGGAAATTCAGCTTTTAGTTGGTTGCTTTGGCTAGCTGTCATTTATTGAATAAGCTGGATATAGCATATTTTAAGCTGGTGAAGATCATTTAAAACTTACAAGATATTTTCTAGTAATTATGCATTATGTAATCTGTATACGTTTATTTAGAAAAAAAAAATTCCTAAGCTCCATTACTTTTTTGCATCATTCCTGTACTTCTAAAATAGGGTATAATTGAAAGACTATAAATCAGATGATTGCGCATAAAATAGAACAGTAAATGCAGCATAACATTTTAATTAGATTTTGTGGTTATTTCCATTGTGCATCCAATGTAATTAAATATATCCACATATAAAACTGCTAATGGACCATAGTAACAAGATTTTGATTATTATTTCCCTTTCATTACTTCAAGAAATATGTTGTTTAGGAATGTTTTGGAGTGATTTCTACTTTGATAGGGCATTGTAAATCTTCTCATTAAATTCTGTAACTGGTATTATGTATACTATTGCCTTAATAAAGCTTGCCATTTAAAATGTAATATCTGACTGCAGGTTTAATAGATCATCGTAATAAAGTTCATGCTGTGGTAGTTGAAGGAAAATGACACATTCTGAAAATAAGTAAAATTGTTCACTGGCAAGAAAGTTTAGTATTAATTAGATTTCTTATCTGTATTACAAACTAAAAATCCTATGAAGCAGTGATTCTCAGCGGTGACTTTTACTTGTGGCAGCATGCATTTTTGACATTTTCATAGCCAGAATATGATTTTGCACTGCAATGGTTTGATTTCCTAGGCTCACTTTTGTTCAGAAGACAGCAGTGCTTCAAACATTCTGTACTTCTTCAGTGTGCATGCAGATATTAGAGGGCTTGGCATTATGTCTCTTGCTGTGGTTCTGTATTATAGGGACCCTGCTCAAGCACTAGGTATACTAGAAGAGTGGATAGTGCTTTCATTCAGAGTAGCTCACGTAACTGCAGAACTGGAGGGATGTGATCAACTGAGGACAATTTGTTATTCAGTGTATCTTCACTTTATGTGGAATGGGGAAGGTTCAACATATGAGCCAGTGATGCAAGATGATACAAGTTCCCTGGCCTGGAGAAGGGGTTGGTAAGGTGGACCTGAGTCCCTGGGGCCTAGACTAGGTGCCAGCTCCTGAAACACTGGAGCTGGAATCATGTACTGTCCAACAACAGTGGTTGTTCAGTGACAAAGCAGTTACTAATGAAGGTGCTAACCAAAGCCCATACTTGTAATTTGGGAGGGCGCAAAACATTTTTCATTTTTTGGGATCCATGATGTCTGTCTGTACCCCCTGATAACTACAGCCCAAGGTAATTTTTGTCAATACTCTGATGACTTTTGGCTCTAGGTTTTGTTACCATTCCAGTGGTGTAGTAGTAAAAAAACAAACTCAAAAAAGACAACATTGACTGCATGATGGTACTATTGACCCTGTGAGGGCAATGCACAGAAAATGACCCAATTCTTCAGAATTGCATTGCTTCTTTTTTATATTGATTATCCAGGACTTTTGCATTAATGAACCTGTCAAAACAGAAATAGTTGTAGTGAAAACTTCATAGGCTGAAACAAGCAGATTGAGACAATTGCTTCTAGATTATAGAGTGAGCAGGAAGTGATGCTTTTCACCTTATTCACCGTGCCGGCTCCATGTAGGCAATTTATTTTTTTCAGAAGCTGGCACATGCAAAGCATGACCTGCATGATATATTATTTCCCACTCACTGTCACCAGCTGGGAAGGTTATAATGACTCCATGCTTTTGGCCAAGTCTTCGGTTTATTAGCTTTGGACATTTCAGGGTAAGAGCTACCATTTAACCAATATAGGAAGAGAGGCTTTTTGTTAGCAGTAATAATTAAGTCTCCGTGGGTATTGCTTAAAATATGTCTAAAGCCAAACTTTTTTTTTTTTTTTCTTTTAGCTCTGGATAGAGTAGGGGAGGGTTAAACTCCTGTCTTTTCTCCACTTTGTGCCCCAGATGTGGTTTGGGATTTACTTCTACAGCACTCATAGGGCACGCAGAACCCATGAGGCAGTAATAAAGCTTAAATAAACAAAAA